GACACCCCTCAAGTGAAAAAACACTTTCTTATTAAAATTCACTATTAAAGAAAGAAAATACAGTTAGTAAGACTTCCTTAGGTTGAGACAGGTATGGAAAACGATTATGTTCTCTATGATTCACCCTAGCATAAGCAACACTTGACATGCCATTAAGCAGAAGTGCTGAGTATGACAGTTAGAATTTGCCAGGTGAAATAATGCAAGTAACTCAAGGTAGAGCTAGGTCCTCAACTTGAATCATATTCCACTAGTTACTGGAATACTAACCCAGAAACAGCATCAGTTGATTGTGGATTCTTACGAATGACATAATGTAGCTCGCCAGTCAGTTTTCAGTTACAGTGAGCAGGGCGCTTCTGTTTTATTCGTTCGAGCACTTCGGTTTCTGGTGTTTGTGCTGTTCTATTTCTCTTGCATTCAGTTTCTAGACTTTTTTTCAAGGCTCACCCCTTGGATTTCATCTCTCTAACATCAATCTCTATTTGCATGAGAAAGCATTCTGTCCATATGTGGTAGTACCTGAGGTGAATTATGTACTTTTCCTGAACATTGAGCATAGGGAAGGATATACACACACACGCATATATATATATGTATGTATGTATATATATATATACACACACCATGTAGCATGCTGAGCAGTGTCTTGATTCACCTTAACTCCTTGGTGAGAGTCTAGTTTTACTGCTTTTCAGTTTGACTGAGGACCCTATCTAGTAGCAAGTACACTGACTGTCAGTGAGGTTTACTGGTCAGCCTTGTGGCATGTTAGCTGCTCAGTGCACAGGTGCCTGTTCCTGTAATAGTAGTGCAGAGCAGAATATACGTGGTTCAAAAAAAAGTTTTTTTTTGAAGCACGTATAATCTCTCTGCTTCAGGTGTTTCCAGGGCTGTGGCCTTAGTAGAGTGTGAACCTACCACACCATGCTTGGTGCCTGCTAATTCCCCCAGTGCGTAGCTTGCTAATGAACAGAAGCAGTTGGACAGGAAATCCCATTATCATTCCTCTTATGTTTTGGGCTGACAACCACATCCTCAATTGTACTTGATGAGATGTAGTCTTCAGATGTTCCCTAAAGGTTTGTGGTTTGTGACTGAAAAGCAGTGACGGTGTTTGACCGTGAGGATTGGCACGGTGTTGTATGGATTACATCACCTAGATAACTCTAGCATAGAGGCTGGTATTTCTTTTCAATTTACAGAACTAGCTGACATAGACTAGCAGGCTGTATCTGGGAGATATTCTTCTTGTTTACATATTTAGGGGATAGTCTGCTTTAAGAACTTGTTTGTGCAGCACACGAGATACCGAGGCTCTTTATAGTTTTGGATTTTTTTTTTTTTTAAGAAGCTGTCTGTCCAGTAGAGATTGCAGTGTAACCTTCCTTTCCCTTTTGGGGAAGGGAGTTGGGTGGGGAATTCTCTTACATGAGCCGTCTAGGGGAAGTGAAATATTGCATGAAATTATTTCTCCAAAGCCACTGAAGAAGGATTCTATAATGTAGCCATTGTACAGTGAAAGGGAAATAGGAAGTTTTAATAACCTCCCTTTGGACACCTGGAAAAGCTAACTGTCTCTTAATTGAGGTTGTCTATCTTGCTCTTCAGAACCCTTGCAGGAGCTAAAGGAAGATAATAGCCTAAGTCTTCTCAGTGAGGACACTTCTGTTTGTTCTACTCACTAGAATAAAACTGTTTGATACCTGATACCATCAATGTTCTTCCTGTTTTAACAAGCAATGTTAGCGTGACTAGATCACTATCACAAACATGGGCCTTTTGACTAAAGGCTTCTCCCAGAGAATGATAATGGAAAAATTATACTTCGGGGGAAGTGGAACAGGCTTAGGTTCTCAAAGCCCTGAACTATTCAGTCTTTTGCAAGTATTGCTGAATAATAAGAATCAGGCATAGAAACAGATTGATATGTCTGCATGTCTTCCAACTGACTTGTGATATAGGAGGAACAAATTATTTGGCACATAGGGAAAATGACTTCATCTTCCTCCTGAAAACCAAAATGTACGTGTAATTTCATCAACGTGTTGCTTTAAATAAGCCCTTCTAACAGTACAGAAAATGTAATTTCTGTAGGAAATTTTCAAAGGAGATCTGAGGGGGGGAAATGTCTAAATGGCTTCCTTCCCTGGATGAAGGGTCCTGAAAAGATCATCTGTTCCAACCTTTCAGGGAAAAGGGAAACTGGATAAGATTAATCTAGCATCCTGTCCAGGTACAAATTGAAAAGCTCTTGTGATGGGGACCACATCCCTTGGAAGGTTGTTCCAATGAATGATTATTTTCACTGTGAAAACTTTTATTTCTTATATCAAGATGAAACCTCTCCTGGTGTGACAAGTGCTAAGTCCTGCACCTGAGACAACACAACCAAAGAGGCTCAGGTCTGTGTGGCTGGGGAGCAGCCTTGCTGAAAGGGACCTGGAGGTCCTGGGGGACAGCAAGCTGGATGTGAGTCGTCAGAGCCACGGCTGCAGCAATGAAGGCAAATCGGGTCCTGGGCTGCATCCACAGGGGCATTGCTAGCAGAGACAGGGATGCAAGCATCCCACTCAGTGCTGGGCAGGACACACCTGGAGTGCTGTGTCCAGTTCTGGTCCCTGAAATTCAAATTCAAATGTTGAGTTTTATATATATTAAACAAAAAAACAAACCAAAATACTCTCTGAATGTCAGTGTAGAAAGAGCAGGATTTCTATAATAGGTAATATAATTTCCATGTGCAAGAAAGGGTAGACTTGGACCTTTCCCAACCAAAACAACAGTTGTGCTTCCTTTCCTCCCTACGATCATAAGAGCAAAATGATTTTGAAATCACACCTTTCTAGCATTTTGTAGAGCGAGTTCTTAAATTCTTAAAAGTAGTTTTGGCTAATGTAGTTTTAGAGGTCTATTTCTGATTTATGGGTGGTGACTGCTGTAGAAAAAAAAAAAGGATGGAACTTTAAAAGGTCATGTAGTCTAAACATATCTGAAAGAAGTTTTCAGCTCATCTCCCTTCCCTCTGAAGTTACCTTGTTAATGTTGTTTTTGCTGCATTGGGAATTGGGGGTGTTTCATGCACTTGTGAGTTTAGATTTCAGGACTTATTACTCAAGTCTTGGCATAGCAAGCTTAAATCCTGTATATTTACAGAGGAAAGGAACTTCAAGCTAGTTTCTGTCTTTGTTTTAGATAAACTTTTTTTTGTTCTATTTTGTTTGAAAAATGGAACATGGGCTGAAGGGAAAACTATACCTACACTGTAGATACAGTGGAGAATCTGTTTAGGGTGAGAGGAATCTGTTTAGGGTGATCACTATGTAAGTCCTTTAATGTGATTTTGGTTTTAACCTAATTTCTTACTGTCTGAAAACCCTGCTGGGCTTCTTGCCACGTTGCTGAATAATTGAAGCTCTGTTAAGCTGTAGAAAACTCTACCAACAGTAGCTGCACAACAAATGCATTTTAAACACTAGCTTTCTTTTTCACTTTTTTTTTGTTGTTGATTTGCTAGCCCTTTCTCTGAGCCAGCCTGCCCTAAAAGTGATTCAGAACTAGAAGTTAAACCTGCTGAGAGCTTGCTCAGATCTGAATCTCACATGGAGTGGACATGGGGAGGATTCCCAGAATCAACCAAGGTAAGTGTATTTGTTATCTCTAACTCTGTGAACTGTGTTTTGGCGTATCTGAAGTTTGTGTCCCAAGGGGGGATCGGAAATGTGCTACTGTGCTGCGGAGTAACGCAGCCAGCGTGGGAAAGTCGCACCCCCTAGCGGCTGGCAAGTCGTTGAATTTGGTGCGCTCAGAAGCTGGTCAGCAAGAAATTCTAGAAAATCTCCCAGTAAATGTCTGAAATGTTTGATTTTTCTTTTTAAGTTAGAAACTGCAGAAAACAACTTTAGAAATTAATTTATTTTATGCTAAGTTTAGTTCGTCCCAGAGAAATTGTAGCCTTGATAGAGTAAATCTGGGATCTAACACAACAGCTGGTAACATATTTATGCTGTTTTCTTGCCATGGTTTGGTCCAGTCAGAACTTCCTCTGTGCTGGTTTCTTTACTGAACTCAGAAATAAGCTAGGATGAACTTCTGTTACAGGGCACTTTGCTAATAAGGTGGGACACGTTCTGTGTTGCTAAAATACTGGTTCAGATTCTCAACCAGTTTACTTGTGACCAGGATTTGTACTATGAGTTTTTCATGTTTAGACCAGAATAAAACGAACATGTGAAGTGAAAGAATTGACTGGAGTCTTTTTTTTTTCAGATAAGCAAGAAAGATAAACTGGAACATCCCCGAACAGCTACCATTACTCCATCAGAGAAGACTCATTTTAGGGTCATCCTCAGCTCTGATGAAGTTGATGATGATGATGATGTGAAAGATTCTGTCTGTACAGTACTGAAACCTGAGCCAAGAACCCATCCTCTGCTTAAGCAGATGGATGTTAGAGATTCTCTTGCTTCTGCCATCATAGAACCACAAGATCCAATGCCACTAGATGCTGACCATCATTCCAGACTGTTGGTGGACCCTTTACCAGAAACAAAGCCAACAGCAAAACTTGACTCTCCTTCAAAAAAGAAAGGTATATAATGAAGCTGTTGATTCTTTCCTTCCGTGAGACCTACCCAATTTGAGCCCATAGGAGAAAAAGTATAAATGTGCCTTTTCAAGTTTTGCTATTTAAAGTCTTATCACAGAATCACAGAATGGTTTGGGTTGGAAAGAACCTTAAAGACCATGTAGTTCCAACCCCCCTGCCATGGGCAGGGACACCTTCCACTAAATCAGGTTGCTCAAAGCCTCATCCAGCCTGGCCTTGAACACTTCCAGGGATGGGGCATCTGACTAAGGCTGTAATTAAACTCTTAGATTTATAAATCCAGCAAATAAGTCTGAATCTTTCACAATTATGTTTATATTTAATGTGTCTGGACAGCTTCATCTTAGTAATCCTAATTGTTAAAATTAATAGGGGTGCACAAGCGAAGTCATCATCAGGGGCCTGACGATATTTACTTAGAGGACCTAAAGGCTTTGGAACCTGAAGTTGCAGCACTCTACTTTCCCAAAAGGTAATTTTGAATTAAGGTTCTGCGGATCGAGGCGCTTATTGCGGTTGCACTATGCGAGTTATCACATGTATGATTTAGGTGTTTATGTGCCAGTTCTGATAAAAAGAATTGGACTTCAGGTTTCTAGGCTTCTCTGGAGTAATCAGGACTGATCTCATTGTGAAAATCACCAGAAAATTGTTTCTGATTTGACGAGAAACATTGAAAGATCATGTGGGAGGTCATTACCAAGAGTTTTCATCTTTGTGGGATGTATATGTTCCGCCTATATCGCGGGAGGAAGTTCACGGTGCACTCTCCATATTGTTAGCTCTGGATAAGCACCTGTGTATGTGCCCTGTACATCCCTTCCAACATCTTTTTAAATATCAAAAAAGACCAACAAAAACAATCCCACAAGATCTTCAGGCATGGCAGCTCAGTCTGAAAATTTACTCTATAAAATCAAGGCATTTTTTACTCTACTGTCCAAAAGTAACTGTATAGGAAGAAGTTTGTAAAAATACAGTTTAATTAGAAAGACGTGTCTGTTGGCTTATGTTAAAACTAAAATTGTAAGCTTTTCAGTACTTACTGATTACACTCCTTGGGATCAAAGTAATAACTCTAACCTTAGATGACCATGTGATACTTTTTATATAAAAGGCCACCTGGCTTTTCTACTGTACTTCTTCCATACACACAGCATTAGAAAAACATCAAGCAGTGTCCCTTTTCCTTTTATTTTTATTCTACAGCTTTCTGCTAAAGTTTGAGGAGCATAGTATTGTTCTGCAAAAATAGAATGTAGAGGATCTTTTCCCCATTTAAATCCAATTTTGTTGCAGGCTAGAGTAATGTAACTATTTCACAATTTAGACAAACACTGGGAGAACTGTAAACTGTCAGTCTGCCAGTATTATGATGGACTGGGGGGAGGTGTTTGTGTCTGGTTTTTGATTGGTTTTAAACTTAATCTTGTAATATCATGTAGTACTTAAATCATCTTGCTGTTGCATTTCTTTTTTTGAGTAATCATATAGTGTGTTCTGTAACCTAAAATCTATACCTCTGTTTTCAAGTGAAATACTTATGGAGAATGTGGACCTTTTCTTTAGTGATTCTGATCCAGGCTTCAGGCAGTGGGCAGAGTCGGATACCCTTTCTGGTTCCCAGTCACCCCAGTCAGTAGGAAGTGCTGCTGCCGACAGTGGTACAGAGTGCATGTCTGATTCTGCTATGGACTTGCCTGATGTCACGCTTTCGCTCTGCGGAGGTCTCAATGAAAATGGAGAGATTTCTAAAGGTATGGGGAAGACTAAAACATAAGCAGTAACAAAGCACAAGCAGCTGAACAAATGAAGTGGCTTGAATGCTCTGATTTCCACCTTGCAAAGCTTTGGCTTTATTGCTGTGCTCATGTTGAGAAAAAGGAATGGATAGTCGTTCTTTTTCTAAAATTCTCAAGTATTTGCCAAGCAGAGATTGCAGAACTTAACCTCAGGTTACTCAAGAGCACTTGATGTCTTGAAGCTGTCTGTCTCCTTTTTTGCACTGCTTGTTTCATCTGACCAACCACTTCTTATTCTGGCTGCAGTTACTTGCCTAGTCTATAAATCTTCAACTCATTCTTTCAAATTGACTGATATTTTTTCTTCTTTTTTTTTTTAAGCAATTAAAAATAATTTGACTATTGTGTTGGACTATCTTTTCTCCTGCTCTACTTTTCCTATCCTAAATGCTTGTCAACCTTTTGAGTTTTACCAGCTGGTTCTTCTCTCTTAACACTCAGTTTAATTTTAATATTGAAGTTTTATGCATTTTTGAGGGCGCTTCTAGGAGCACATGACCTTTATGAACATGTACTGCAGTGTTTTTAGCACTACTTTTTTAATGGTTGTGCATTCTGTAATGCATCGTGAAATTGAAATGCTTGTTAACAAAGGCTCAACACCTCTCTTGGTAATGTGGTGGTAATACTGGATTTGATATAAAAAAAATATATTCCTTGCAGGGCTCTTACTCTACATCTTGAATTTTTGCAAACTTTTATAGTCACTAGTCATAAAAAAAGCTATTAGTAGTCAGTGATTACACAAACCTGAAAAGCTGGCAACTTCCTTCCCTTTTCAGTGTAGCTTATGTCAGGTAAGGAGCTTATAATATTTACAGAAAACTTGCTTAGACAAATGTGACTTTCTTTTTCCAGCTTTCAAACTGAGTTAGTTCCCACCTCCTCTTTATCCTCCCTCTTCTAGTTTCTTAATTCTCACTACTGTGCCTGTTGAAGTGGTGTGAGGCTTTCCCTGTTACTGAGGAGGCAGCTACAAGGCTCTTAGCCTGTCGGCTGTAGTAGGGTGACTTGAGGGATATTGCAAGGTCAGCAAAGACTCTGAAATGACAGAAAGCATTTTCCTAGGTACAAACTAATTGGACATCTTGGGATTTTATGTTGTTATTTTTAATTAAAATCTGCTTCTATTGCAGAAAAATTCATGGAACATATTATTACTTATCATGAATTTGCTGAAAACCCTGGACTCATAGACAATCCTAACTTGGTAATAAGGATTTATAACAGGTAAATTCTCTGTCATGTGATTATGTCATAGCAGATCTCATTTAAAATCTACTCTTTAAAGACAGTGCGTTGCTCAGTTTCCATTGCAATTTGTGTTTTTGATGGATCTGTTTCTCAGTCTCAGAGAATGATTTTGAACTGAAGATTTGCATTAAACTTGGCTTTAATGGCAGTGAGATTTTTTTCAGCAATTACCACTGTTGTATCTATTAAGATAACTCAGCTTACGGAACTTTAACATTAGATGTTGGCAGCAAATATATATTTTTGTCAACAAAAGGGCAGGTTGCACACTGATATTTATTGACCTATAGTCTGGTTTTGTAACACCTTCTCAATAACATATTTTAAAACAGGTATTATAACTGGGCGTTGGCTGCTCCAATGATTCTGAGTTTGCAGGTGTTTCAGAAGAGTTTACCCAAGGTAAATACATACATGCATACTTTTTGGAAGATCTTCTGTGTACTAACACATGTTTATCTCTTTATTTTGTTTTTCTATACAAATTAAAAACATGCCTAATTTTTTCAGGCTACCGTTGAGTCTTGGGTCAAAGAAAAGATGCCAAAAAAGTCTGGAAGGTGGTGGTTCTGGCGCAAGAGAGAAAGCATGACTAAACAGGTAACTGAGACTGTAGGGTTTTGTTTGCTTGTTTGTTTCTTAGCTATTAAAAGATGAAAAAAATGTTGGTGGTTTTTTTTTTTTAGAAGTGCCTCAGAACACTGGTTATAAGACACCTGTCACTGATGATGCCTCAGAACACTGGTTATAAGACAGACACCTGTCACTGATGGCCAGCTGAATTACCCAGTGTTGCTGTAGCTGCTTCTGTACATTTGGTCTTAAACACCACATCTTTATACGCTCTTACTAGTTGCTTCATCAAATGTTGTATCCAGGAGCTGCACAGTGTTCTTAAAATTCTTTCTTCTAAGCAACAGGCAGTGGTCAGAGCTACTCTTCAGTCACTGCAGTATGTTTTAGGAATGTATGCACAAATAAATAAGTAGGTGCTGTGCTGCATAGTAGATGTTGAGACACCCCATTTTAGAATAAGCTTTCTAAACCTTGAGCATGTGCCTTAAATTTACTTCCCCCCACAGATGAATTTTATAAGTGTAGAGGTTGTCAGCTCTGTTCGTGCTAAATTCATCCTGTTAAAACTAGCAGTTCTCAACTTCTGGCATGCAGAGTTTTGTTTCCTGAAATAATAAAAAGCTCTAATGGATCATTTCTTCATAAGCATCCTTTTGTTAAATAACTTACAGAATGAGCAATTCTGAGACTTAATATAGCTTATGTGCTATTTGCTTTTTGATAGCTGTTTGTTTGTGAACTATGAATTCACTTGGATCGGTTTAAATGCTTAAAATGACAATATGTCGTTTTATTATTATGTTGCTTTAGATACCAGAGGCAAAAGAGGGGAAAACTGAGACGCAAAGTGCAAATGAACTGCCAGCAACTATAAAAGAGCAAGTTAATAGTAGGTGTGTTCCTGTCTGAAGACTGTTTGGACTGAACAGTGTCTGGTTTTGGGTGGTTTTTGTTTGGTTTTTGTTTTTTTTTTTTTTTAAATGAATTCAGTAGGAATTTACTATGGGAAGAATCATTATCTTATAAACTACCGAAGAGGAACCAGATGTGTTTAGCAAACAATTCAGCAAAATAATGTGGCAGCAAACATTATAGAAGCTACAAATACACTACAGTTATTTCCTAAATCCTTTTGTGTTTACATTTTAAATCGTAACATAATTGACAGAACAACAAAGACATATATGGTAACCTTTAGCAATGGGCTACTACTCTGTAAATATAGTGGTATTGTTTCTGAGATACTGTTTGTCTTTTTTGCAAAAGCCTAATATTGTATGCATATTTCAACTGTGTGCAATTTTTTGTAACGTTAAATAACTGAAAGAATAAAACAGTATTAATTACAGTGCACAAATCGCCCAAGATTGTGGTTGAAAACGAGCAGTGTTTAGCACAGAACTGTCCCTGTCTAGGTAATTTATTATGCATATTCATATTCTTCCACAATTTTACGAAGATGCTTGTAAATATTGTTGGTGTCTTAAAGCTTTAAAAAAGCTAAATACGTTGATTGAATACTTGAAAGAAAGTAAATGCTGCATTTAATCTTGAAATCTCTAATTAGCAGAAAAATAAGTCTGTGAATAACCTTAAAAGGTGAGCTCCTCCACTAACTTATCACCTACAGTTTAAATTATGTAGTAACTGTGGCAGCTTTTTTAGGAAGCAGAAAACCCTCTTACTCATTCAGTGTCCCTTTCCATCTGCAGTTTACCTAATTCATCAACCCAGAAGTAGTGACCACTTGGCACTGTGTCTTTACTAAACCCATCATGCGTGGAGCCAGCTAGCCATAGTCCTGTTTAGAGCTCCACCAGTACTAGCACGCATTACAAGTCTTGTGTGCTTATTGGCATAGCTGGCTTTACCTGGGCAATCCCTAGAGCACGGACTTCATGAATCCGTGCTACCAGGCTAACAGCAAGTCCTCAGGGAAATTACTCTTGTGTAAGAATCTTACACTGGTAAAGAAGGATTTTCTGTAGCTTATGTTTATTCTGGTTGATGTCGTGCTAGACCTCCAGAAGATGATTCTTCTAGTGATGAAGCATCACAGGAGTTGAAGGAATCCTTGAAAATAGATTCCGCTCCAGCAGAGCATCCAACCCATGGGAACGTTACGTCTTATAAGAAGTCACTTAGGCTGTCTTCGGACCAAATAGTAAGTGGCAAACCTTCGTTGTACATAGGATTCTTCATAATTCCACTCTAAGAGTTGGACATTTTCTGCTTTTTAGAAGTGACACATAAGTACATTTCACAAAGTAAAATGTGATCTTCCAGTTACATTTCTAGCACTAGAAATTTTAAAATGTAAGCAGAAATTAAAAGTATTTTCCTGTGCTAGGGTTGGCAGCTGCAGGAAGCTTTTGATTTTTTTTTTTCTCTGTTGTGTTTTTTAAGAATCTGGGGTTTGATAAAAAAATTATAATTTCTAACAAAATTGTAAAGTCAAGGTTCTATATTAAAATGTCAAAAAAAGTGACATTGTTGGCTTCTGCAGTTGGAATATCCTGGGATCTGTACAGTCTAATAATGTACATTTAAATTGGAATGCAGTGTATTCACTGCTCTCTAACTTAGAAAGTAGTCCTGCTACTGTCTAAGCGTATGTTCTTCGTCAGGGAGGAATTTTGAGCTAAGCATCCACCAAGTAGAAAATACTATTGCTTACTGCAGCAAACTCTTTGGTAGTACTGTAAGTCTCCACTGAAACAGCAAGAAGTAACGTAGCCGAGAGTCAATACCCGCTGCTGCGAGCTGATACAGGAGCTGCAGACAAACGCGTACCCAGACCGCAACATGGACTGTGCCGGGGTTAACGCATTGGTTGCTTCTTGATAAGTTAATCCAAGTAGATGAGGAAGAGTGTATGAGCTAGTTTTTGTAGCTCACTTATGACTCTAAAAATTTTGTAGTGAGGGAAACTTACATTTTCAATTATTTATTCTAAAGGCAAAGTTGAAGCTCAGAGATGGCCCTAATGATGTCATATTTAGTATTACAACCCAGTATCAAGGGACTTGCCGTTGTGCGGGAACAATATATCTCTGGAACTGGAATGATAAAATCATCATATCAGACATTGATGGGACAATAACCAAGTAAGTATCACTTTTTTTCTTTGATTCTTTTTTATATCTTGCTTTATTGATCCTAACGTTTTCAAATAAGATCAAGAAACTTGATTTAAGACTATTAAAGAATGTTAATTGTCATGAAAAAAACTCGTTGCTTTGATTTTAATTTGTACTTGTATTTACAGCAAACTAGAAAATGTCTTTTAAAAGAACAATGCAAAGGTGGTAATGTTTAGTGTGTGACTGTTGCCCTTAGACTTCTCCAGGTTTAGCAGCCACAGCCTAACTTGGAAACTGACTTGTGCTGCAGGGCCCCACTAATAGCTCTGTCTGGAGTAGTAACTAATTAACTTTGAAATGTTTAGGGCCTTTTACAGAAATATATCTGTAAATACTCATTATGAATTGTATATTTATTAGTGGTTGTCTTTAACAAAACTCCTGTACTTAGTATCAGCTATCTCTGATTTTGCTTTTAGGTCTGATGCTTTAGGACAGATCCTCCCTCAACTTGGCAAGGACTGGACTCATCAGGGCATTGCAAAACTCTATCATTCCATAAATGAGTGAGTATGTAATTCCTGCAGCAATTAGGGTTTTCTGGAATTTGGGAATTAATGGGCAGGTACTTGGATTGTTGTTAGTAATTACGCAATTTATTACAATTTGTGTGTCTAAATGTTGGCAAGTGAGCTGCTTCTTCACAAACGAAACAACACTGAGTTCTTTCCCCAGATGTAGACTTCTACAGGAATGGAAGCCAACACTTCTACTAGTTCCCTTCTCAAATGTTTGATTCTGCATTTTAGCTCTTAGAAACTGTGCGTAAGGTTGTGACTACAAGAGAGAACCATAATGGTAATCAGTTCTCAAAGTCGTACCTGTACCTGTTTCTACCAACTCAGGTTGATCACAAAGCCAAACATGGTAAATTGCAACTTGTGTCCTTCCGATGCATAAATATTTTGTATTTGCTACCAAACTTAAGCGAATGTTCCTTAGGATAGATTTAATGTTCTGGAACAAGCCTCATTAACACCTTGCTCCTGCCACAGAAGGGAGGTTGGTAGCCTGGCTCAAGTTTTCTGCCATTTTGTTGTGCTGCTGACATAAGCCGATGCAGTTCTGTGAAACAGTGGAGAAGTGATTCGCCAAAACAGCAGTTTCCCTTTCCCCACTCTGCGTTAGGCAGCCGAAGGCGCTCACCTCCTGATGTGCAGGAACGTGCAGCAGCAGCCCAAGTGCCTTTCCCCTTGCAGCAGCGGTGGGGTGCTCCCTAGTTCAAAAGCGGTGTGAACCACACCCTACCAAATGTACTGTTCATCCAAGAGGTATATAGCCCTGCGATGTTTATGTCCAGTAACTCAGGGCAGAATAAACCTACATATTTCCTCCCCTTTCAGATTTGGTCCTCTGTTTAGCAGACTTTTTTCAAAAATACAGTGATGCCAGAAGTAATACTTGCTAATCAGGAGGATCACAGGATGATCAACTGCGAAACACTTCATGATCCACTTAAAATAATCAACTTTCATCTTTGTTTTTAACTTAGTCTTTTCTTTAAGAAAGTCTGTCTTTCCCCAAAAAATATTTGAGGTCTTAGAATCTATTGTTGACCTGTGTTCTTGTAACCTTTTGTTCTGTGGCTGAATGGCCCCTTGCAGTCCATGGGAGATAACCTGAACTTTTTTTTTGGTATTCAGTGCATAACCGAAGAGTAGTTTTGGAATTATTTGCCAAATTGAATCAAGTCCTTGAAAATGCACATAAACACTCAAGCCTTTTGTGCGTGCAGTAACTGCGATGCAGACAATTCAAATAAGCTGAAGCACCTCTCCTATGACAAAAGGCTGAGAGAGTTGGGCTTGTTCAGCCTGGAGAAGAGAAGGCTCCGGGGAGACCTTATTGCAGCCTTCCAGTACCTGAAGGGGCTACAAGGAAGCTGGGGGGGACTTTTTACAAGGGCCTGTAGTGACAGGACAAGGGGTAACGGGTTTAAATTGAAATCAGGGAGGTTCAGATTGGATATTGGGAAGAAATTCTTCACAGAGAGGGTGGTGAGGCACTGGAACAGGTTGCCCAGAGAAGCTGTAGATGCCCCATCCCTGGAAGTCTTCAAGGCCAGGCTGGATGAGGCTTTGAGCAACCTGGTCTAGTGGAAGGTGTCCCTGCCCATGGCAGGGGGGTTGGAACTGGATGATCTTTAAGGTCCCTTCCATCCCTAACCATTCTATGATTCTATCCTACAGCTGAGCTGAAAGCAGCCGGATAAAACCAGTGCAGCACTTGCACACAATCTAATCCATCTAACTGTGCCATTTTCATATTGCTGTCCCTGTTCTTTTTGCACTTCCTGTTTCTCAGCTTTGATTGAGTCCAGAGTCCTGCATTTAAGCTGTTTATTATACGCCTTGCAGATTTTTTTTTTACCAGTGAAACAGTCTTTTCCTGTGTGTTTGTGCAGCGCACCACAATGAGTCAGTACCTGAACTGGTGCCTCATAACCACATAC